TCACAGGTCCGGTACCCTAACTACTAGACCACCGACAACCTCACGATCACAGGTCCGGTACCCTAACCACTAGACCACCGACAACCTCACGATCACAGGTCCGGTACCCTAACTACTAGACCACCGACAACCTCACGATCACAGGTCCGGTACCCTAACCACTAGACCACCGACAACCTCACGATCACAGGTCCGGTACCCTAACTACTAGACCACCGACAACCTCACGATTGCGAGCCCAGCAGTATAACCACTAATAATTTCAAACCCACATTCTCTAGCGCCACCTACTTGTTGCTGTTCTGGAAACTTCTCAGGATCTTCTGTCGTGTTCCCAGTTTCTGACCTTTGGCCTGGGGGTTGACCTTGAACCCGATCCTGACCAGAGCGTGAGCGAGCAACAAACGTTGTCTGGTGGTCGTGCATCTGTGGGGGAGTCAGGAGGACCGTCAGAGGAGCAGGACACACAGAGAGTGGAGGAGTCAGCACGATGCACTTTACACTATAGTATTACCCCAGCAGACCATAGAACACTCAGAAACATTCTCAGCTTCCCGGGAAGTACAAAAGAGATGGAATGAGAATGGTTTTATCGGGTGCTGAAGTCACCTACTGATTGACTCACTTGGAACCCCCCAGGGCTGTGCCACTGACTGAAGTGTCTTTAGGCCATTCCAAAATGGGGGGACATTTCTCGTCCATGCACAGTGAAATTGTAAATGGGCTGATTGGTCAATGTCACGCTCATAACGGTGCCTGATCTGCAACAGGGAACTGCTCCTTTTTCTTTCCTAATCCTTACTATTGTCATTTTTTCTTTACTTCTTTTGTATGTTTGTCACACTCTTGTGACCCACTATTTCCGGGGTGCTTTGATAGTCGAAGCAGACTTTGTGCTGTTGAAGCTAGAGAGATGAGCAGAGTAAGTCTGGTTCCCTGTAAGAACTTCTCTGTTGACATCCACCCCATGGCGCTCCTACGACCTTATGCAGTTGCGAGCGCCGTAAAACTTCTACAAACAATACAACTCACTTGGAGGGTTTCGAACACACGGACAAAAACTTGTCCAGAGCCGTCTGTCCGTATCTGTTCCGGAGGTTGATGGCGGCGCCAGACTGTAGGAGGAGAGAGATGAGCGAGACGTTTCCGTACAGACAGGCCACGTGCAGGGCCGTGTCGCCGTGCACACAGTCCCGGCAGTTGACGTCACTTCCGGCCCGGAGCAGGGCGGGAACGGCCCAGACGTTGTGTCGAGCGGCCAGATGTAGGAGGGGCTTCCCAGACACGTGATGTGTGCTCAGCTGGTGGGGCGGGACCGTGCTTAGGCAGAACTCTAGAGCCGCTCCCTGAGGGGGGAGGGTGGGGGGAGTGGAGTGGAGGGTGTTGGGGGTGGAGGGAGCGGGGGAGGGGGGTAAAACAACAACACAATGTATCAGGGCAGCTCCCTTGAAGGGGGAGGCGGAAGGAGGAAAGGGGGAAAGGTGGGGAGAGGGGAAAGGGAAGGGGGGGGGAATAACATCAAAATGGGTCAGGGCACTCCAAAACTCTAGTGTACTAGAAAACTGCATATTTACATTTTTTGGGGGTGCATTTGAAAACCTTTATCACTTCAGTAAAATCTTTTTCTTCTTCTTCTTCCCAAGCACAGACAACATGACCTAGTTTTTCTTACCCTCAGGTTTTTCACAGCTCCCAGTACAAGCGGCCAGCCTGTCTCCTCGTCCCTCTCATTGTCTCTCTCATTGTCTCTCTCATTGTCTCTCTCCTCGAATGCCGTCTCCTCTGCCTCGTTATCTCTCGTCAAATCCGACATCCGTGGCTGCTTCTGTTGCTGGTGGTATGTGCCTGTGAAATAGATAAATAAATAAATAAATAAATAAATAAATAAATAAATAAATAAATAAATAACGCTTTATTGATCCCCCGTGGGGACATTTTAGTGACATTAGCAACCATAGGCCTATATACATAAATACATACATACATACATAAATACATATATACATAAATACATACATGCATGCAGACATACATAAACACATACATATATAAACACATACATATATAAACACATACAAACGTAAACACGTACATGCATACATAATAATACTGGCAAAAAACCCACAAATTTACAAAGAACTTCAAAATACACAAAATTACACCGATGCAGAACAATTTCACTAACTGTGGTATCATTTGACCGTCAGATGTGTGAATGTATTGTGTGATGTATAATCTGTCACTCTACCCTACTGTGTCACAGGCGGGTTATCCCCCACAACAGAAGCACACCCAATCTCAGTACAGTTTTAGATTTTAATTCTAGTAGAGGTTTTACGGCGCCCCCAACTGCGTAAGGTCATATTTGCGCCAAGGGGTGGATGTCAGCAGAGAAGTCCTTACAGGGAATCAGACTTACTCAGCTCACCTCTCTAGCCTCAACAGCACCAAGTCTGCTTCGAATATCAAGGCACCCCGGAAATAGCAGTTCACAAGAGAGAGACAAACACACAAAAGAAGTAGAGGAAAAAATGACGATAGTAAGGATGAGGAAAGAAAAAGCAGCTGTTCCCCCTATGTTGTTCCGGCACAGTAAGAACAAGGCATCGATGAATCAGCCCGTTTACAATTCTACTGAGCATAAGAACATGTTAATATCTCCCCCCCCCCCCCATGGGAATGGCCTAAAGCAACTTCAGTCAGTTGCACTGCCCGGGGGGGGGGGGGGGGAGTCGGTACACTTTCTGTCACATTTTGTTGTAAGTCATAACAATAACAACAAAAAATAATGAAATACTATTTGTGTCGTGCATATGCCCGCTGAACGACAAGCTCTATGCACTTTACAATCTATTTGATAATAATGTTATCTCAGCAGACACTAGGACACTCAGAAGTATTCAATGATTAATAGAATGCATTTGAAGAGCAATGGGGAAAAACGACTGTTGTTTGCCACATATTGGAAATTGTGGGGGGGGTCTATTTTAAAAGTTTGTGTGTGAACTCATAACTTCATATTTGTTTGACTGGTGGTTTATTGTTAAGTGTAGTTGAATGGGAAATGAAACAACAATAATCAACCAACAGTTGACCAGAAGTACAGTTATGAGTCAACAAGTGTTCAAAATTGGCACGCTCACGATTTTCAGTTTGTGACTACAGTCGTCCCCCCCTCCTTGTAGTCTTCATTAGCGCATATACCCCACTCAACGGCAAGCTCTAAGCGCTTTATAACCTATTTAATAATAACATTATTACCTCAGCAGACCCAAGGACACTCAGAAGTATTCCTGGCTTCCAGAAAAGCGCACAGTGCAAGCGGCTGATAAAGCGCTCAGACACTACGGTACCAAACTGACAAGATCTTTGGCTGTCTATATAATATTATACCACCACACACAGATATAGACGCACAGGCATATTATTATATATATCCTGTTACCGAATTTTTCACAGCACAGAACCAAACGTGATACGGGATAGGCTGATATCCTTTTGTTATTGAAGCAGTTGTGGGACGGATTTACAAGACGTTGAAGCGGATAGAGGAGGGTTGGGTTCCCCCCCCCCCCCCCCTTGTACAGGCACATGTCGTGCCAAAGTCAGCCGTGTTTTAATGCGCCGGTTCCCGTCAGTTGGTATCGAGTATCTGTTAGGGTATTAGAAGGGTACCGAGTAATAGAATTGTTGGTGTGTATCAGCCCTCTTTGAGACAGCTTTTTATTTGTTTGTTTGCTTGTTTGTTGTATTTTATTTCATTATTATTTTTCTTCTGATGTCATAGCAATTAATGTCTTCTTTTAAATGGAAGGAAACAGTCGTGATATCTATTTCCCCCATCAAGTAAATTGTTTGTGTAGTTCATAGGCCCGTGAGAGCAGAATTAATTGATCGCTTTTAAGCACAAGTGGTTTTGAGAAAATCGAAGGTAAAATTTTTGCCCCTTGTTCAATTTCTTTAAAAGACAAGGAGAGTTTTCTCTATAACCAAACAAAATATACACACCAATGAAACCAAACTTCTCCTACAGGTAGGGCACTGCCAACTTTTGATGTAGGTCAAATTTTCTGGAAAACCTCGAAATCTGGGTTAGCCCGCTTGTCCTTTAAAGCGACAATCTGTGAAGTGTTTTTGGTGCCGTTAATGATGCATGGAATTTATCTTATAATTCAAACCTTTAGTATAACACAAATGAACCAAGTCGAATTATATATATATATA